GCTTGCCTGGCAAGTGCAAGAGCCTGAGTTCAATCCCGGGTTCCGGGGAAAAAAAAAAAAAGATTATGAGCTATTGAGCTGCAGAGATAGCTCAGTGGTCTAAGCAGCCTGCTTCACAAGTGCAAGGACCTAGGTTTGATCCCTGGTACCGCGTGCCATGCCAGCCATTGAAACCAGGTGTGGTGTCACACACCTGTAATCCCAGCACTGGGGAGGCTGAGACAGAAGGATCACTATGAGTCCAAGCTGCATAGTGAGACCCTGTACCAAATAAATAAGTAAAGATTAAAAAAATAAAATTGTAAACTTAAAATCTCATAAAAATATAAATTGTTTCAAAATAAAAATTATTTTAAATTAAAAAAATAAAAATAAAAAAAATTGTGAGCTATTTATTTTAAAAATACATTAAAGTGATCTGATAGTACTATGAAAATATCCTAGAAGTTGATGTTAATTTATAGAATGCAAAAATGAACTCCTAAATAAATATATTTATATCAAATAAAGCATCTACTTAGCAACAAAACAGCATTTCTAGAAAAGATAACAGGGATGAAGGGAGGAATGGAGGGAGAGAGGGCATGAGTGCTGTAACAGAAGAGTTTCACTTCTTATTGTCCTTTTGCCTTTCTCCATGTGACAATGCAGCAAGAAAATCCTCACCAGATGACACTCCAGCAAGAACCTCTGCCTTCAGAACTGAGCCAGTAAATTTGTTTATTATAAATTATCCTGTTTCAGGTATTCTGCTTTAGTAGTAGAAAATGAACTAAGACCAAAGCTTACATTTTACATTCTGCACAATATAACACTACAAAACAATTTTTAAATGTTTCTAAAATGAAAAAAGATACTTTACAACTTAAGTTCTTAAACTGTCTTCTAGTATAACAGATATTGCATATATTACCTTCAGACTGGAAATCTTTTAGTGATACTGTGAGGGGTTTGTCTCTTCCTTGATGATTCTTTCTTTTATCTTTTTTATGTATAATCTTTGAATGAGCTGAAGCATTTTCAGTATTTTCATACTCCTGAAAAGAATTACCAACAATAATTAAAGTTTCATTTATGAATTATAAAACCAATTCACCAATAGTATGTTTTTTAAAGTTGTACTTAGCGAGTGTTATGGATTAAATTCAAAATGTTCCCCAAAAGTATTACGTATTCAGAGGGAAACTGGAAAGTTATTGGATAGTGGGGTGACTTTATTCATCAATAGATTAACCCATTGATGATTTCTGTGGCTAAATGTACTATTAGAAAACAAAGAGGCTATCCTTTTTTTTTTTTTTTTTTTTTGTATTTTAGGGAAGAGTCTACAGGATGTTCAGGATCTCACTACTAGATCAAGACTCATAACAATCCGCCTGCTTACAGCCTCCCAACAGCTGGGATTATAGGTGCCCAGTCTCAATTGCTGTGTCAGCATGCCCCGGGAGCGGGACTGGAATAGCAGGCCCAGGGATGGAATCCTTGGTCCCTGCTCCTGCTTGCAGGTACTTTAATCCACTGAGCTATTTGGCCAGCCCTTAAAGAAGCTATTCTTGTCCCTGGCTCCTCTCTTCTCTCTGCTTTCTGGCTGCATGAAGGTAAACAGTTTTCCTCTACTGTGTTCTTCCAGTCATGGAGCCAACTAACTATGGGCTAAAATCCTCTGAAACTACCTCTCTTCCTTTAAGTTGTGGACATCAGGTATTTTGTCCCAGCAACAGGAAAGTCATAATAGAGAAAAATCATACCAGGAGTGGTGTTGACACTGGGACTGTACCTGACCATGTAGTTGACAAGCCTTTGGAATTGCTTTCCAAGAAGAATTTGAAAAGGCTTGGAGATGCAAGATAGGAAACCAAGAAAGGTGTAAGCAGAGCAAGAAGGGAGATTCTGGTCAGAGCTCAGAGGACTAGAATGCTGTAGGAATATAAATAGTAAAGGACAAGCTTATGAGGTTTCAGTTGGGAATAATTCTACTGGAAAATGGGCTATCAGGCATGCATGCTTCATTAGGGCAAAGAATTTGTTTTGTCTGGTTCTAAGACTTGCAGTGCTGAATTTATTTTTGTTTTGTTTATGCTGGGGTTCTTTTTCTTTTTTTTTTTTTTTTAAGACAAGGTCTAAGTAGTTCAAGCTGGCCTCACACTTGTGGCAATCCTTCTGCCTCAGCCTCACAAATTCTGGGATTACAAAGGTGTGCCACCACATCTGACCTACAAAAGTGAATTTAAAGTTTGCAGACTAAATGATCTGAGAGAAGAAACTTCAAGGCAGCCCAACATTCTAGTTGTAGCATAGGTATAGTTGGTTGCTTTAAGCTAGACCTACAGTAAGAAATCAGGAGCAAACAGCAGAGCTGAATGATATTGAAAGTATGCAATTTTGCCAGAAAAACAGCAGCTACAAAGTTGGGGCAAAGGAGAGCATCACTGCTGAGATTAGCATTTTAAAAAAGCCAAGTACTCTGTATAAGGACAACAGGAAAGATACCTTGAGAGCATCTCAGGATATGGCCAGATCCCAATCTTGGTGGTATAAAAACATAACCTATCTAAAAGACTTTACTTTGAAAAGAGTACAACAGGGCTCCCTGCTCATTCTGAGCCACCTAGGAAGTGTTCCCCAAGTTCAGCAATGCCTCTTCCAAAAGGACCAGAATCCTGTTAAAGGAGCAGCAGACCTTGGGGTCATCCATGTGATGCTGGTTTTCAGACATTCAGAATCTAAAAGTGATGAAGTCCTAGAGGCTTCCACCCAAATTTCAAAGGAAGGCCTGTTCATGATGCTATGAGAATGAAGCTGAAGATCCCAAGAAGAGTTTAGTAGAGACCCTAAGAAGCTGCAGATGCCAGGAATGTGGATCTCTGCTGAGGAAAACTGTAGGCAGTGAGCAGAGCCAGTCCAAGAGAGAGGCCATGTGGGCAGCAACTAGTAATGCTATATGAGTGGGGCCTCACAAGCCCTTTTGAGCTCACATCTCTTTTCAACCTGCCCCAGTTGCTAGATGTCAACTACAGGATTTAATGTTTTCCCTGCTGGACTTCAGTCTTGCTTTGGCCCACGTGTTTTACATGTCCCTATTCCTCCCTTTTGAGATGGGAGTGAGACAGATAGATAGATAAATAGATAGATAGATAGATAGATAGATAGATAGATAGATAGAGATCAATCGATCGATCGAGCAATCGATCCCCATATATTGGAAGTACAGTGGTACCTCAGTTCATAGTTATTCTATGACACTCAAATGAAAGTCAATTTCTTAACTGCCAAATCCAAAAGGCATTCTGTTTCCTAATCTCTTGTTTGCTTTTTGCAGTACATTTCTGAGCACTCCTAAGTTTTCTTTACTGAGGTTTTTCTCCCCCCTATAATTCTTGTATATTCCGGGGAGATGGCTCAGTGGAATAAGCGCTTCCCTGGCAAGCACAAGGGTCTTAGTTCAATCCTTGGTTCTGGAAAAAAAATTCTTGTATATTTGTAATGCAGGTTTGTTTTCAAATCATTAGTGGGCCACGCTGGCCCTACACAATCCTCCTGTCTTTGCATCCTAAGTGCTACAATTGTACAGTATGTGCCAGCAGGCCCAACTCCCCACCCTCTTTCTTTAAGTGTACCTTCTCATCCACCATTATCCCATTCTTAATCTGTTCTTTGCTTTATACTCATATTCTTCAATATCAAAACTTGAAGTTCTACCTTTACATTAATGATTTACATATGTACAGCCAACTCTAGAACACACAGCTGGACTATTCAATAGGCATCATCACTTTAATGTTTATCTTTGCATGTAGCTATCCTGTTTTCCCCACTTGATCCTCCACTAAGTACTCTGTCATGCCTCCACCATACATAAAACAATCTAGGCTACAAACTCAGTATCCTCTTCTCATTCTTCCTACAAACTTTATATTAAAGTTTGTTTCTAGGCCTTGTTGAGTTTTTCTAAAGATCTCTTAAACCTATTCTGGATTTCTCATACCTTTTGTCACTGCTTTATCTTTTTTTTTTTTTTTTCTTGGACCCTGAAATGCTCCAATTTTAACCCTTTGATCCATCTTCTACAATGCTACAGCATGAGTTTCAAAAACAAAGACCTGAGATTTATAAACTAAGAATATTCAATAGCTTTGTGCCACCAGGTATATAAAATACAACCTTCTTTATGTCCCCTCCTGACCACATTTCAGCAATTCTAGGTTCCCAAATCATTTTTTCAAGCATCTGTGTTCTTTCACACTTATACATCTTGTATACCTGCCAGACCTAGCCTGAGAATATCTACTTTCCTCCTGACCACCCTGGGAACTTCTCACATATCTAATAGGACTTTTCATCAAGAATTTGTTCTAAAAATCTACTCCCTTCAAAGGTACTGAAAAGTTGTCAACTCTTCTGAATACTCACTACATTAAGAACTTGTTCTCTCAGTATTATGCCCCATAATTGTATGTATATCTCCCTCCACTAAACTCAAGGGCAGGTTAAAGCCCTATCATTATCTTGTATATATATATACGTTATGCAGCTATTATTAGTGAATTAGTGACCAAAGAAGATTAAAAAAAAAAAAACAAACCAGGATCCCAAACTTCAATTCTTGGTTATGAAATCCTTAGGCTAAAATAACTATACTTATTTTATTGGAATATTAACTTAAAACTCAATGACTACATCAATATAATCATGTAAAACTAGTCAGTGTATACAAAAGAAGTTCCTCAATTCCCTTACAGTCTTTACTGTTTAACAAAACCAATGCTTTGGAGCACTGGTATACTTTGTGGCAAGAAAACTGGCTATCACCATGGTTTTATCAACACCATTTATTCTTCTCTAATGATACAGCTAATCCTATTACCTTTAGCATCTTGACATACATCCCAACAACAATAAAACCACTGTATGATAGCATTCTATTTGATAAAAAATGTGTCTTAATTGAACACTGCAGGAAAATCTTTCCAGTGTAACCTGAAAGGCGATTTTAAAAGATTAAGTAGTAGTAAGTTGGACAATACACACACATACACACACACACACACTGCTGAGGACTGAATCCAGGACCTTGCACATGATAGGCAAAGATTCTATACCACTAAGCTACATCCCTAGTCCTTTTAATTTTAAAAAAAATAAAAGGTGCCCAGGCTAGCCTCATACTTGCAATCCTCCTGCCTCAGTCTTCTGAGTAGCTGGGATCATAACACATCATGGCTATCTCCATTTTTCCTCTAAACTGACATATAACAAATCATTCTTGGTTATTAAGAATAACAGGAATGAGACAATGAAAAATGAAATAAGCAGCAAAATCACATTTTCATTTATCTACAAATAAACAGCAAAATCATCTGTTATATTTTAATTCCTTTCTTTCTTTCATCTTGGATAAAAGTTATTAACATACACTGACACAGCCAAAAAAACCTTAAACTTGACCACGAACCACTTCTGAATAATCACAAATCGACTAAATTTAATGTACCAAACAAACCTCATGAAATGTTAAAGACTAAAATGTTAAAAAGCTGAGCCAGGTGTGGTGGCACACTCCTGGAGTCCCAGCATTCAGGGGGCTGAGACAGGAGGACTGTTCCAAGTTCAAGTCCAGCGTAGGCTGCAAAGTGAGCTAAAGGCCAGCCTGAACTACACAGCAAGACCCTGCCTCCAAAAAACAAAAATAAATAAATGAAATGTTAAGCTGAAGATAATCAATGCTTTGTCAATTTAAATATAGACACTGCAAAACAACACTACTTTTTATTTAAACATTCCTACTGTCATAAGCTATAGAATGCACAGAATGCATCTCCATACAGGGACTGATATCAAAACTCAGTGATAAATGTTCAATTTACTATCTTCTACATTTTTATTAGTGTTTACAGTAAAAATGATTACATTTACTGCAGGGAGTTGGTACATGTACATAGCACACATTTTTTCATTCCCTTCCCCTCCCTCCTCCCTCCAAAACATCAAAAATGGTGTCCTACTCTAGTTAACTGTACTGTGTATCTGACAGAATTTCTCTTTATCAGTATCTGTACTACAGTGCTCACAGCTATTTAAACTTTTTAATCCATTTTGGTGGTAGGGATTGAACCCAGAGCCTCATATATGATAAGCACACAGTGTACCACTCAGCTATTTCCTCATATCCCCTAAACCTACAATTCTCTTATAAATTTCAAATTAATCAGTGTGTTTTGGTACAGGTCTATAATCCCAGGACTTGGAGGCTGAGGTAGAAGGATCACCACAAATTCAAGGCCAACCTTACTACACAGCAAGACCCTGTCTCAGGAAAACAAAAGCCAAATAAATGAATAATCAACCATCTTGTCAATTTCATTTCCTTTCTTCTATTCATCTTTGGTGAACAAACTTTAAACATCCTAAAACATCAGACAAAGCTTAATCTACACGTTTCTCTCTTCTCAAAACTTGAATAGAAATGCTATTGCAAAATGTTCTTGACATAAAGAGTTACTCCTTAGGGGTTTTTTTGTTTGTTTGTTTGTTTGTTTGTTTTTGAGACAGTTTTACTATGTAATTCAGGGTGACCTTGAACTTACTAGGTAGCCTAGGTTGGCCTCAAACTTATGATCTTCCTGCCTTAGGCTCCCAAGTGCTGTGAGTACAGGCATGCACCACCATGTCCAGCATAACAGGTATTGGGAAATGGAAAGAAAATGTTCAAATGAGAAAAAGGGAGCAAGGGAGAGGGAAGGGAGAAGGGAAAAGGAAGGAAGAGACAAGGAAAAAAAAAAGGAAATAGAAAAAAATGGAGGGGCTGGTGAGATGGCTCAGTGGTCTAAAGCACCTACTTAGAACAAGCTTGGCAAAGCACGGGGACCACGGTTCAATCTCCCAGCACCACATGCCAGCCAGCACCGCCCCCTGGTGGGCTGAGCTGGTCACACACACACACACACACATAAATAAATAAATAAAATTTAAAAAAAAAAGAAAAAAATGGAATAAAATGAGGGGAAGATGTGTTGAAAGGAACAGAGGGGAATGAAAAAAAAAGCAAGATATATAATGTACAGGTATAAATTTCCTATAATTAGTGTTATCATTACGCATATCTAAAATGTATCAATAAAAAATATGGTTGAGCAGGGAATGGTCAACTATTGACAGTAGCCAAGTCAAACTACTATCTATTTCTGAAAATAAAGTTTTATTGGGGAGAAAAAAAGCTCTTGATAAAATCTTATAACAATGATGAACTTTTAGGACAAAGTTTATTTCATTCTGCAGTGTAGGTGATTAAATCCAGGGCCTTGTGTATGCTAGACAAGCACTCTACCATTGAGCTACATCTCCAACCCTAAAGGACAACTTTTATGTAAAAATCAGAAACTTAGTTCTAGCCTTTGACTATTTAAAACTTCTGAAGTATGGAAATCAATAAACAAGCAAAAATACCTTTTTGTGTTCTTCATATTCTAATTTACTTAGCAATAATGCCTTCTCAAGATCAGCTTCAAACATTTCAGATGTCAGCTAAAAAAAAAAAAAAAGTTTCATAGTAAACAGATAACAGTACTAAACTCACTAAAAAGTAACTATGACACATGCCAGTATATAGAGGAAAAGAAAATACGTATGTTCAAAAACACCATCATTTCTCCAGAGTTATTTAACATTGCCACATTACAGAACTCTGTATCTTATATAAGATACCAAAGTACAAACTTCCACTTCTGGGATTTCTATTTCTCCCTTCATTGTTAATCATCTGCTGTATATGATATAACCTTACCTTTCACTTTAGTAAATATCTTACAAATAAATCAATATCAAAACAGATGTAAGACAGCATCCAGTTTAGGAAACAAAAATTTTAACAACAACTACTACTGAAAAAAATATAGCTAACACTGAAAAATAACTGAATAAGTATTATTAAATAGAGTAAACCATTTCCTGAAAAATAGAAAAATCCACAGGTAAAAACCCTTTAAAATAAACGACCAGGGGCTGGGGAGATGGCTCAGTAGAATAAGTGCTTGCCAAGCACAAGGGCCTGAGTTCAATCCCTGGTTCTGCAAAAAATAAATAAATTAATTAATTAAATTAAATTAAATTAGCGACCAAATGCCTTGGTATGTGCCAACTATTAGAGAATATTTATGGTGCAGGTTTTTACTTTCAAAATTATATACTACAAGTTTGCCTTACATTTAAATCATGTAATACAGTAATGAAATGATTCCTCTTCCTAATCACTCCATCCCAATTTAACTTTTACAACCTATCTTTTGCACTCTCCAGTCTAATTATTCTCTACAAGAATTATTTTCTTAAATGCCAGGTAGAACTGCTGCAGTACGTAGACAGAAATTTGGTGTTCACTACACTGGTTAAAGTGATTACATATATATATATATATATATATATATATATATATATATATATTTTAAACTTGCAACATGACAGGAATAAATATCCTATATTTGAGCATGTCTATGTGTGCTATGAATGTCTTATTTTTGTATGTCCAGAATACCTTCCTTTACTCAAATGTCCTTTAATTGAGCAGGATAAGCACATAACTGTGTATATTACTTAACACCATACCCACACTGATACTGAAGCTTTTATCACCAACAACAGAGGTAAGGGGAGGTTTCTGTTCTACTATTCTAAGAATTAAATTTGAGGAATAAAGACAAAGCCAGTGAGATTTAATTATAATGATAGGTCTTGAAGAGTAGTATCTACTAGCTCACACCTCTGAGTACCCCAGAATTTGTTAGTTTACATCTTTTCCAAGATCTGTTTAGGTCTGAATTCAAATCTATGGGTTATTCAATGTCCATCCAATAAAATATACTTTTTCTTGAGTTTTTTAATAATTGTCTTATTACTTAATAATGAAAAAAAACTAAAGTAAAATAGAGACCAACTAACAAAGGATATCCCAATCTCTTCTCAGCTTTTCAGCCAAGATTAAGCACAAAAGATATATGCTTAGAAGTAGAAAAGTATTAATACTGAACTCTGTAAACTTAATCTTTCCTTCCTAACCAAAGCTATCCCCTTGAAAGCATCTCATCAGATTCTATGCTAAGACAAGAACAACAAACAGGGGCCTGAGAGATAGCTCAGTGATCTAAAGCTCCTGCTTAGGCAAGCCTATGCAAATGTGCAGGGACCGTGATTAGATCCCCAGCACCACATGCCACGCCAGCCCCACCCCAAGAGAGGGCTGAACCAGCCACACACACAAAAAAGGACAAATATTAGGTATATACACAAATATATTAATCTAATTTTGAAAAATACTACTGGAATTAAAATAACACCATATAGCAAAATCTGATTAAGCCCACAGTAAACTATATATACTTATCCCATAGAACTCAAAAGAATTTAAAAATTCAATCCAAATCAGTAATGTGTAGGAAAAATAAAATAACCTTTTACCTTTAAATTATATAAGTGGGCATTAAAAAAACAACAAGTAAGGGCCGTGGATATAGCTCAGCAGCATAGTGCCTGCCTGGCAAGCATGAGGTCATAAATTCAATTCCCAGTACCAAATAAAAGGAAAGAGAGAGAGAGAGAGAGAGAGAGAGAGAGAGAGAGGTAAATGCTCCTAAAAAGACAACAAACAGTAGAAAGGTAGGAAAAAAAACCGTGAATTCATGTTGGTACAGAACAACAAATTACTACTGAACTCTATAAACTCTATAAACAACAAATTACTACTGAACTCTATAAACAACAAATTACTACTGAACTCTATAAACAACAAATTACTACTGAACTCTACGAACACCAGTAGTACGTCAATTTCTGCTCCTAAATTCAAACCAAACTGAGTACAAAATGTCTCACCATAATTAAAGCATAATGGTCATCCAAAGAAAAAAAAAGTAACAAAACAATTTACTTTAAACAAAGCTGGTTTGCCATTATGTAGATTCTGTACTAAACACATTAAAAAATAAATTAAAAAAAAATAAAATGTGAAACCTAAATCACCATGAAGACCAGAACTTGATTACTGACCCAGGTCACTTTGTGAAATTGCTGCATGAGATTAAAATGAATTTCTTTATTAATGAACCCTCTGTGTTGCTCTGGATGTTTGGTATATCAGCTCAACTTTTATGTGTCTCTCACTATCTTCCTTAGATAATTTTTTTTGAGGTACTGTTTCTGTTGTCTGTGCTTCGCTTAATAGCTTTGCCATGATTTGCGTAATTCTGCGTCTGAGTTTTATCTCTTTTCCTTCCCTACACACTTGGAGAATTTTAGCTTCTATTCTGAATTCCCTTGATATATTAGCACTTATCAATAAATAATATATTCAAGTCATCCATTAAATACTTTTGAGCACCTTCCAGCAGCACAGTTATGAGCTAAAGGGTCCCCTCTTTCAAATTGATAAGCTGAAATCCTATCTCCTAGAAATTCACAATGTGACCCTATTTGGAGACAGGAACTAAAGAGACAAACCTAGGAGACAAAGACATACATGAACTTAGAAAGTCATATGCCTGAAATCTCTGAAATGATAGCAACTGAAGTAAAGAAACAAGTTTATCAAGCTATAGAAGAAGTAAGATTAGAAATAATCTCTAACATCCAAAAAAAGAACAATCATGAAAGTATTACTCAGCAAAGCTAAAGAAGACATAGATATCAAAAAAGAGTATAAGATAAAAATGATGGCAACACTGAATGAACAATAAGGGAAAGGATTAGAATACATGAAACTGATTCAAACAGATACCCAGGAAAATTAAGAACGCCACTGAACACTGGCAAAAAAGCTTGAATGAAATTGAAGATAGACTTTTAGACCTTGAAGACAGTGTTGCAGCTAAACGTGAAACAAAAGACCTCTTAAAGCTAACAAGGCACCAGGAAATAACAATTCAGCAGCTACAAGATGATGCAAAGAAAAATAATATAACAATAATAGGTTCCTATGAAGCAGCAGGAGATAGCACAAATGACATTAAAAGACTACTTGCAGAAGTACTAGCAGAAAGTTTTCCAAACATGAGAAAAGAATCTGACATACAGATAAGCAAGGCATACAGAACTCTGCACAGCCATGAACACAATAAATCTACACCTACACATATAATAATCAAGATCTCAGAAATTAAGCAAAAAAACCCAGAATATTAAAAGCTGCTAAAGAGAAGAAACCGATCACACACAATAGAAAGCCCATAAGAATCATGGCAGAGTTCTCAACACAAATCATCAAATCAAGAAGAGCTTAGAGTACAGTATTTCAAGTCCTGAAAGAAAATAACTTCCAACCTAGATTGATTTACCCTACACAACTATCTATCAAATTCAATGGTAAAATAAGATCCTTCTGTGACAAAGAACTGAAAAAATTCATGACCACCAAAACAATACTACAAAGAGTAGTAACAGATATTCTATAAAGAGACATACGTGATCACATCTTCAAGAACAGAAAAGAACCACCAAACAGAGAAAGTAATTAAAAAGTGGGAAAAATTATACCATATAACAGGAAAATAACATGACAAATATAAGCCAATATGTATCAGTTATAATCATCAATGTAAATGGCTTCTATTCACCAATCAAAAGGAACAAACTGGCAGAATACATTAAGAAACAAAATCCAACAATATGTTGCATACAAGAAACACATTTAACTCAAAAGGAGATTCACACACTAAAAGGCAAAGGACGGAAAACAATCCTCCGTGCCACAGGAAATCAGAAAAAAAAAAAAAAGGGTAGCTATCCTGGTTATTAATATCAGTTTCAAACCAGAAATCATCCAAGAGACAAAGAAGGTCACTACATGCTTCTTAAGGGAAAACTGTAAGAGGAGGAGAGAACAATAATAAATATATACTCACCTAATGTAGGAGCACCCTCCTACATAACACAAATTTTAACAGACATGAAAAATCAAATGGGCAATAATAGAATAGTAATGGGGACTTTAACATGCCACTGTCACAAAGAGATAGATGAATGAGGCAAAAAATTAGCAAAGAAATAACAGAAGTAGACCAAACTTGTGATGAAATTGACTTGGTAAAAACCTTTAGATTATCTCACCCAGAAACAACAGAATACATTCTTCTCAGCTGCACATGGGACATTCTCCAAAACAGACCATATACTAGGACACAGAACACTCTTTAAGTAAATACAAAGGAACTGAAATTATCCCATGCATACTATCTGCTCACAGCGCAATAAAACTGAAAATTTTTGACAAGAGAAACTACAAAAACACCATAAACTCATGGAAATTAAATAACAACCTCCTAAACAACCAGTGGGTCACAGACGAAATTAATGAAGAAATTTAAAAAAATGAAACAAAAATGCAGATATAACTTAGCAAAACTTGTAGAGTACAATGAAAGCTGACTTTAAAAAGGCAAATTTTTAAAGGAAAACAGAACAACAAAAATAAATGATCTTATGCTGCACCTCAAGCTCCTAGAAAAAGAGCAAGTCAAGACCAAAGCCCAAAGGAGGCA